GAAGAGGAGTCAAAATAAGAGCTTAGACATAATTGTTCATGATTGATCAAATGAAAACACACGTTAAAAGTTAAAATAAGAGCTTAGGCATCCAAAAAAAAAAAAAAATCGTGAAAAATAACAAACAAACGATTAACAAATGAGAATGGATAGTATCGATATTCATTTTATTTATATGGATATCCATTTTTAGTGGACAATATGATCAATCTTTTAATGATCCAACTCATATTTAACGAATCGGATTGGATGATTACTTGTTTTTAAAAAAAACCATTTTGTCAGCGCAAAAGTGAGCATAATATTGCATGTCAAGTCGCAAGCAGCATATGCAAGCACGCTACATCCCCACAAATAATTAAAACAATTCCTCTTACACTATTGTTGTTTGACAAATTTAAATTTCTATTGATATGACTATCATTTTCAAACATCAAATCTTTATTTTCAACTACAATTACACGAACGAATTTTCAAACTTAGTACAGTTTGATTTTTGGCAATTTGTTACAAAAGCCTACTAAAGTGGTAGCTATTAATTTTATTGATTAATTAATGTCTATAGATGCATGCATCTAAATATAATATAGCCTAGTGTTTTGCTGCTCATTCTCATAGTATTCTTCTACCTTTTGAGGAAGTTCTTTCCAATAAATTTATATGAACGTGTTTTGTAAAAAAATAATTATTATAATAGTGTCTCAATCAAGCTAACAGAAGAAATCATATTTTTTTCCTTTTCTAGGATTTGTAGTTCAAACCTTATTCATGATTCTTAATTCATGGCATTCGATCAATAGGTCGCACACCCTTATTAAATGTTATCGATCAATATAAATCACCTAATACATTTTGAAAGATAATAAAATAATCATGTATCATTGTAGTATTACATGTGTATGTACATGATGCCAAGCTAAATATGTTCAAACTTCAAAAGGTTAATTAATTAAAATAGTTGGCATTTCCAAGCAGAGTTAGCGGTATCACCACATTTTTATATTGCATTTTATCATTGCAAGAATAAATTAAAAAAACTATGCAGTGTACGAAAAGATCAAGAATAAATAGTAGTTCTGGTTTTAATTAACAAGAGTAATGCAAATTAAAGTTATGATTTAACCGGACGAAGAAAAACAAGAAGTGCACGGACTTTAACGTGATAATATTAATATAATAACATACATATATACCTAATTTTGGTGTTATTCTGCATTTTAATATTAGAAATTAAAATATTAAATGTATATGACAATTAATAGGCATAAAGTGAAAAAAATTATGTCCATGACATATTTTCCTCATTATATCTTTACTCTCACGGTTCATTTTTAATTGTTATGTTGCACTTTTTAGAAATCAATTTGACTAATTTTTAAAATTAAATTAGATTATATTAATTCGATATTTTAAACAAAAAATTTAGATATTCAAAAACTATACGAAAAATACTATAAATTTCATTGTTTTGAATATTAATATGATGAAAAATACATCGTAAAATGTTAGTCAAAGTTATTATCGTTTGACTCTAAAAAAAAATTATGACAATTAAAAGTGAACGGAGATAGTAGTAGTTATCCCACTATTCCTCAAATGACTATCCACATTCTTGACATTTTATTTGTGGAAGGAATCCTATACTTGTATAAAGAATATTTTCTTCTTTATGTTAAACGAAAATGTTTTTCAGGTGGAGCTTTGGACTCTTCAACTAAATCAGAGTTATTTGAATTATACGATGTTGTTGGACTGTTGTATCATGGAAAGGGAACAAGTCAAGAGTTATACCGTAGATTATAGTGTAATGGACTTGAATCATTTTTAAAAAAAGCAAGATATCCATATTTCAGCATTAATATTTCTTTATTCATGTTTGTTCTTTTTTTTTTCAACTGTAATCTACAATATACTCACTAATACCTAATGTAATCTCATAAGTTGAATTGGAGACTGAGAGAGTAATGTGTCCATATAGATCGTACCCACGGTAAAAACATCTACCACAGATAGGGATGGCAATGGGGCGGTGCGGGGTGGGGTGGGGCGGGTTGAGCTTAACCCGCAAATTTTTTTTATCCTTCCCGCATAACAATTTTTTTCATTTTCAACCCACCCCGCCCCACATAACTTTTTTAATATTTTCTTTTTCTAATTAAGTTTGATACTAAAAATAAAATTCATAACAATAAATTCTTTTTTTCATTAAGTTTTATTAATTTAATAGGATAGTGACTTAAAAATTTATTTTGAGGGGTCAATTGGAAAACATGTAAGAAATTATATTATTTTTTATTGAACCATTTTCATATATTATCTCGAATATTTTAGTAGATTTATATAAATTATCTTAATAAATAATTATTTATCACTCTTATAACATGTAAAAAGTTAAAATAAAATTTGAACCCACATAAAATCACATATACCCGCAACCCGCCCCGTCCCACATTAATTTTAAGAAAACCCACTTCAACCCGCCCCGCATCCCACCTGCCCCACACAACCTTAAACCCACCCCGCCCCGCATCCGCCCCTCCCCATTGCCATCCCTAGCCGCAGACTCCTCATAATTTTCATCTACCACGTATATTGTATTCTTCAAATACGAATTATCACAATGGACTCTTTGACATGACTCCAAAATTTGAATAATCTTGAAAGGTTATTGCTAATAATTATGATAAAATTTTGACTCTATCCCAAAGACAACTATTGGGAGATTAGTAAATTCTGACATTTTGATTAATTTAGTCCTTATAATTTGTCCTTTGTATATATTTGTGTTGGTTTCATGGTGTCAAATGGCACTTCTTCTGTCTCTGCTGTCTCGCCTCTGTAGATAATGGGATTGAAGTAAGTAATTTGAAATCCAACTCAATGCCAATATTTTAAATATCATGGCACTAATTTTATACTCCCTCCGTCCCATTTTATGTGGCAACATTTGACCAGGCATGGAGTTTAAGAAATAAATGAAGACTTTGAAATGTTTACCAAATTGCCCTTTAAAAAGTAGACTCTTTTTTCTCTCTCCTCATAAATGTATTGGAGTATTATTTTAAGATTAAGTGGGACCAACAAGGATAAAAGAGGAATTATACCTTTATAAACTTACCATATAAGAAAATGTGACATTTTTTTGGGACTGATTAAAAAGGAAATGGTGTCACATAAAATGGGACAGAGGGAGTACTAATTTGTTGAGCAAATCCCTTTACATACGAGTCCATAAAGCTAGTTGGTGATATGGCCGGTGTCCTTTATTATTTATGTCAAATTGATAAATATATATTAGTATGTTTTATATATACATCCATATGTTTATTATTTAATTATAATTGAATTATATGTTTATTCTTACTTTAAGTTTTAACATATCTAATTTGATATACATATTTCGTGGGAATAAGTTCTCCTCCTCTTTCCTTGAGATTTTATAATGTATTTTATACGTGATTGTTTGGTAGAGGGTATTAGAAAAAATAATATATGCATTAGCTTTGTGTATCATTAATTAGTACCTTGTTTGATATTCTTTTCTAACCTATGCATAACTAATTTTTTATTAAGATGTGTATTAATACCATGAATTTCAAGGTATTAACAATGCAATAGTTTTAATGCATGCATTAGCATGATTAGATCCAATTGTCCCTTAAAACCTTTTTTACATTTTTTCCACTATAATAATAGAGGGTATCTTTGTAAATACTCCCTCCGTCCCTATTTACTTGTCCATATTTCCTTTTTTAGTTGTCCCTATTTAGTTGTCCATTTTGACAAATCAAGAAAGGACAACAAATTTTTTCCTATTATACCCTTATTTACACTTCTTGAAAATTGTAAAAGTGTATGTTGTTTCCCTCCAATTTATTTCACTTTAATTCAAATAAGTGGTTGTAATTTTGAAGTGGAAAGTTGTCATAAGGGTAAAATTGTAACTTCACTGTGCTAATCATTGTTGCCTTAATCTGTGTGCCATTTCTAAAGTGGACAACTAAAAAGGGACGGAGGGAGTAGTAATTTTTTTAATGCAATGCATGCATGTCATTTTCAATGCATCAAACCAAACAATGCATACAAATAATTTATGTATAATTAATGCAAGCATAACTAATACATGCATTACTAATTTACTTTATTTTGCATTATTCTTATACACTCTATCAAACGACGCCATAATACTTTTTTTGTCAATTTGCAAGTATTTTCGTATCATTTAAAAAACTAAAAAAAAAGAACTGAAATTGAGCCAAGTGGCAAGAGGGATCAACCTCTTGATCTTATTTCCATTCGAATTGTACTTTAAAGATCAATGTGAGAAATTATGGCAAACAAAAAAAAAAAAGAGAAAAAAGGAGAACGAAAATGAAAAGAAAATAAAGTAGTACTAATATTAAATATTACTTCCTCTATTCCAATTTACAGCAGAATTTTGACAATAATTTATAGTATGTAATTTTAAAGTTGTTGTTTTTTTAAAAAAAATGAAAACTACATAAAAAGTAATATTCCTATAAACTATAAGAGTAATAATTAATAGTTTAAAATATACAATTAAAAAAATATTAATTGATTTTTTTTTCTCAAAATGTACCACCTAAATTGAGATGGGGTGATACTCCTTTTATTTCATATTGTTTGGTTTATTTTGACTTAGACGTACCTTAAGAAAATTTATTAGAAATGATTTTACTAAATTAACCTTATTTATGATATTTTAAAACTCTAAATTTGACTACTATTCCTTAATGTAGTTATGTACTAATACTAAAATTATCTTAATTTATTAAATAAAATAAAAAATAATTTATGAGGGTGTTTTGGTAATTTGTGAGAATTTCCAAAAATAGGACCAGCAAAATTTGAAATATCGGTGATAGCCCATTTTCCAAAGCCTCAACGTATATGGAGTGAGTATCTATAGAAAAGGATGATCACCGCGTCCTGTCTATCTTGCTTCTCTCTTCTCCGCAAAGCATTCACGAGATAATTTCGCCCTCCAATCATTTCTAACTTTCGCATTAAAAGCTTTCACGCTCGAAACCCTCGCGACGTCCGCCATTTCTTTCACGGACCATGTGAACACAGGAGGAGATCAATGATTTCCTCTCAATTTCTCCTTTCATAACTTCCTCTTTATCAATAGTTTATAGAATCAATGGATGAAGAAATGGAGGATTTCATTGTAGAATGTTCGGACGTCGTATTCGAAATCGACTCGGAATATGAGTTTGACGCCTCTAGGTTCTATGATTTCTGCCGGCCGGAATCAACTTCCGAAGCCGAGGAAGCCGAGCGATGGTTTCAAACGGCCAGCACTTATCCGCCTTCTCGTAAGTCATACATAAAAAAAAAAAAAAAAAACCAATTTACATGAGTGTTTAACTGAGTTTCCTTTTTTTTGGTTGATTTTGTGTATGAGTTTGATGATTAAAATTCGCGTTGCAAATTTTGTGTTTCAATAGAGAAACACGAATCGTTTGAGTTGACGTCTGTTTGTGAAAGGTTATTTGTTTAGATTAGATATGTTATTATACTGGATTGGATGATTGTTGTCCTTGAAATCATCTTATTAGACTAGTAGGAAGTTAATCTGAGAATGTTGATGGAATGTAAATTCGTTCTATGTAATTCTTCTGATTCGGTGATTGTGAAATGCAGAAATAAAATGGATAGTTTATAATACAATGCCTGTGGTGGAAGCACAAAGCTTTGGCTTCTCGAATTCCTTTTGTTCATCGTCCTTGTCCTCTTTCACATATGTTTTATCATACAAGGATTTTCATACTATGACCTCATAAGTTTATCTTTATGACAGCTATTATATATATTTTTTGATCAGCTTATCCTGGTTGATTGGTTTATTCACTCTTTCTTTTTTATTTTCCTTGTTTATTTGGTAACTTCTTAGCTCTCATTATCAAGTTAAACCTGGGGAAAGAGATTACAGCAGGAAACTCAAATGGTTGCTCAAGGTTACAAGAAGGGAAAATGGCAAAATCAAAAGGCAACAACTCATACATTCCTGTTGGTTCTGAAGTTTCGCCCTCCAAATCGAAAACTAAAGGTATGTATGCTGGCAGTTTAAAAGTGTCTGGTCTCATTTTTTAACTCACATCAGAACATTCATCTAATGGATCTATCTGCAAGTATTAGAAGAGAAGCTCTGGTCTACTGACTCAAAGTTTGCCTTTTCGTTGTCTGTGTGCTTAAATTGTTATTTGTTCTCTTAAATAAGTTTTGTTGCTAACTTACTTGTGCACTGTAACAACACAAGATTTGAGCTAAAACTTGATATTCTGATTTCATTTTTCCTCTAAACTCCACGGAGATGCTTAGTTAAATTAACCTGTGGACTTTCTTTAACCTAACTTGCAGAAGAAATAATTTCTAAGAATTGTGCATATTCAAGATCAGTCTTTACGCAGGGCGAGTGCTAGTAGTTTCATGGTTAATCGAATTATTATCTTATTGTAATTATCACTTCACCATTCTTTTCTGTTTATATTTTGCAGTTATATTAACTGTCTTAGTGATTTTATTAGGCTTAGTGTCAGTACTCTGTTGACAGTAGATTAAACAGTAGTTATTAGATAATATATGCACATGGTTAACTAGCAAGAGTTCAAAAAAATAATTTCAACATACAGCTTGCAAAACTTCAACAGTATTTAACTGGTTTCCCTTGTACCCCCTCAGGAACTATATCCAAAGGTCAAACGACTCGTGAAATTTGCAAGACAAAGCCAGAGCCAAGATCTTCAACATCAAGAGGTTCAACTTTAATGAAGCCCACGGCTAGTCATTTGGCTAAACAGAAGTATGTAAAAGATGTATATTCTATTTTATTTTCTTGAAGGTTATAATTTTGAAAATTTTAGTTTCTTTTTCATTCCTTCATGTCAGAAATTTTCAGAAACTACAACGACAGCAGTGGCGAATTCAGCATTTTCGCTTAGGGGGGTCGAAAAATAAAAATGTAGTGCCTAGGATTTGACCTTGGAACGTCAAGTAAATTTTAAACCCCTAAACCATTAAGCCAACCTCTTGTCTTGTGTTCAGTGGATTCAAAATCTATATATATACATAAAAACCACTGATTACTTCAGTGACAACATTACTTAAAAGTTGTAGTTCAGGCTCGTGTATGTTTCTGCAGTTCACTTTCACTTTGTTGGCTCTCTTGACTTCTGAAACCAGTTTAAACAATTCTTAATTTTTTCTTTCATTTTCTCTTTCTTCAATTGCCAGGTTTCAAAATGCATCTAACAAGACTGATGTGACAAGCTCAACGAATTCTTTGGCATCCGAAATTATTGCTACCAAAAGGCAAAAGCTAGAAATCGGTTATCTACTTAAGGTGCATGAAGTTATTCAGTTACTGTTTGATGATAGTATTATTTTGTTTTACTCTAGTTGGCTTCTAAGTTTGTATTCCACACATGTATTCCTTAAGCAGCACTGACCCTCATTTCTCTGCCCTCTTTCAGTGTAATGTTTCATCCATCTTACTCTTGCCATAGCAATTTTTTCTTTTATTGATGTATGTCATGTTTAAATAAGAAGACTTATTTGTACTTTTTGTACTCTCTTCTTAGATCTTGAGACAGTGTCTTCTCTATGAACTAATGCTATTTGCCAAAGGACTTAACTGTTTGATCTTTTGGAACTTCGTCTATTCCAGAGAAGTATTTAATTAACTAGGCATTTGGACATGGATTGAGTGGTATTTGAAAAAAAATACTAGTATTTGAAGTTAAGTTATTTAAAAAAAGTATGTGGAAGTACTAGTTGTAGTTATGGCAAGCTATGAACTAAGGAGAACTAAGTTAGAAAGACAAGGATGTAAAGTTATTTTATCAATTTTACTTCACTAACAACATTAAGGTGCTCAACATCATATGTATCTCCAGATAATGAATATGATCATTGATTTTTATGAAATAGACATAATAAAAATTTGTTTTAGGTGAAAACAGTATCCATTTTGCCAATAGGTACTAACCTGGTGAAATTACCTCACTGAGTGCACAAGAGCAGTTTATGCTGAGAAAACAGTGGAAATTAGTTAGTATGACATTTGGTGTAGCATTTACTCTTCAAGATTTTAAAAAATTGGCATGATTTTCATCTCCAAGTAATATAGGTTTAGTGGCATTAGATTTAATTGTGTACATAATTAACGTGTTCAAGTTAGTTTTCTATCTCTAGGATATGTTCACAAAGTATTTCCCATTCCTAAAAGCTGTCAACTGCTAGAAATATTTTTAATTCCTCATTTGATCTTGCAAACCAGATTGCTCACTTGAAGCATCAACGTCTACTATCTCACAAGATATCCAAGAAGGTACTATCTGAAGGATTCTTTGTTGTGGTTTCATATACAGATCATGTTTAAGAACTTCTTATGCATCATTATTTGCAGTTTGAGAGCTTTTATTCTGTTTTGGCAGGATACCTCATCCATCTCTATCTCGGCACATCCCAAATCTAAAGTTACTGTTCCTAGAGAACCTGAACTGGAAACTCTTCAGAGGGCACAAAGGCGAAGGTAGGCTTTTTAGTCTTGGTATACAACTGCTACCAGTACCAGTTGGTAATCAGCTTTTTGGTTTTTCTGATTAAAAGTTTCAGGTGCAACAAGGACTCAAACTCAAGTGAAATCACGAAAGCCAAAACCCAAATGCTTAAATCACAGTCCTTGAACAGAAATGTTGGTATTCCGAGTAGTGCTCTCTTGTGAAAACATTTTAATAGTAATCTCCACATAATCTTTCATCTGAGCCTTGTCTATTTGTGCTTTCTGCAGATCCTCAACACTCCTACATTACCTCCTCTCAGAAAGACTAGAGCTCCGTTGCCTGAGTTTCGTGTAATTAATCACTGCTTTTCCACTGCTCCTTTTTCCACATTGATGTATAATCAATTAAGCTTACTAACTTGGAAAAGAAAACATGTGCATTCCCAATCTCAATCTCCTTAGTGTGTTCTTTAGGTTCTTGAGTTGGATGTGGTGATGCTCAACCTTCACCTTACATAAGACTGTTAGTCTGGGTGTTTTCATATTTTCTCCTATCATCGGAAGTTTAGAAAAGTCACTGGTGTTCCATGCTAATGGTGTTTGTGTGTAGATTCTCTAATTGGTGAGGTAGAATGAATTGGTGCAGATATACATTATTTATAGGAGTCTTTGATTGGGGAGTAAACTGATTCCTTATCTCTTTTTACTAGCATTGGGGTCTTGACTAATTCGCTTGACCTCAATCATTCCACTATTTACCAGCATCCCGCCATCGGTACTTTTACCGGGCAACTCATTTAACTTTTTTGCCTATACTGAGATTTGACCTTCGTCTCCCATGGTCTTACTCCCAATTTCAAACCGCTAGGCCACATCACAGTAAACAAATGTCTCCTTATGAACTACTTGACACTAATTCTAATAAAGTGTAGCTAATCTTGACAAGGAATTATGAAATGCCAATAATGATTTGATTCCACAACCATTTAGCAATCATATCCAGTCTTTGTAGCATTATCCCTATCACACAGAGGCTGTAGGGAAATATTTGAGGACAAACATGTAATTTATGAAGCTAGATGTTATATTTGCTCTTTTTTGCTCTGATTTTTTTGTACTAACTGATGCACTTAAAGTTTATGACTTAATCATCATTGCAACATTTGCATGTGTTCTGCAGCTTTAGTTTCTATGTTTCAGTTGATGGAAGCTAACTCTTCCTTTTCTTTTATGGTTATTGCAGTTATTTAACTCTCTAAATGCCGATTCTGCCGCACAAAATGCTTTAGTGGACTTTAAAAGGTTGGATGGGCTTCTTTACTTCACCAATTGAGTAAACTATATGTGAAAGAACAAAACCAAAACTATGATCTTAATTTTGCATAAAACTGCACAACTATTTTCAGAGATCTCATGAGAAATTCAAAATTCATCTATTTCCTCTTGGAGTAGAAGCATGTAGAATTTTATCATAAAGTTAACATCGCCTTCTTAGTTCACCATATATAATTTAACCTAAAGCATCACAAAGTTCACTTCTTGTATAGCAAATCCAGTTTGTGCTTATACTGTTTTGGGTTGTTTCTCAGACCAAACACTCAAAATGCTGTGAATTCAGGAAAATCTGTTACATCCCTCAAGTCAAGATCACATAAATGTAACAAGGTAGAATATTAGCTGACTTATGTTTGCCTGTTTCGGTCTTTTTGACTTTGACTACGTGGTATATGCTTAAAGATCATGTCTTCATACAGATATTTCCAAGTAGGGAAGATAATGGCATAGGTGAAGACAATGGACAAGAAAGTACATACTCAATGGTAACACATGATTTCGTTGTATACTTTTGCTGGACTTTCCATTAAACGTGTCTCATCCTCTTTGTTAGTTGGTTCTTTTCCTTGTTTCCTGTTTTTAAATTTTTCGTGTATTATCACAGGAATCCAAATCCATACTTGATGAGAAACTTTCGGTGCATCCGCCAATTGAACTGTTTAATAAGGTACTAGTTTCAAAATGATTATGCATGCCATATCGAATTCCTCTGATGGTGTATACTACCAGTTATGCGGTAGCCTGAATGTATCAGACTTATATATATATATATTAGCAACTTACTCATGTCTCAGCTAAAAAATATTCTAATCTTGGTTCCTTTTTAATCCTAGTTGTCCCTTAGATCTGAAAAGGAAACATGTGAAGTGTCTAAGCCAAAAAAGAATCCCTCAGCAAAGGTGACCCTGAGGACTCCTAGAAAAACTTTTTTTTTTTAATTATGCATATGAATTGTTTCTAATACCCACTTTTGTTGTATAGGAGTTGAAGGAGAATACTCCAAATTGTTTGCAGATTAAATTTCGGGTATGAAGAATAGAACGATGCTAGATTCTTTTAACTGTTGACTGCAACTTCTTCTGATTGTTATTTCAATTATACAGAAATGTGTTGGAAAGACAAATCAGTGTGCGGCAGAGAGGGGCAATGACAGGTTTGGACTTCACTCCAGCATGAACAGGTATCCTATTGCTTGAGTTTCATAAATAGGAAAACAGAAAGTCCACAGACGAACTTCTCATCAAGATAGACCTTTTAAGCTAGAGCTTCTTTTGTTTACTTATAGAGTTTTATAAATGGATACTTAAACATATTGCTGGACCCATCTCAGCTTGAGCCATTTGTTTGAAACTAAGTTTGATTTTAATCTGGCTTTTGCACGTCTACGCATGCCTTAGTACTACCAATGGATGTATGTTTCTCTTCTTCTTCTTTTTTTTTTTTTTTTAATCTTTGGATCTAACTTGTACATTGATCTCTCAGGAGCTTGGGAATCCGATGAAAAAATACGCGTGATTGTTGAATTGCTGCAAGTTTCATGGGAGGTAGATCAATCTTCCTAATCCGAGAGTTATCTGGAAATGTATGTCTTTAGCTATAGGAAATAAAAGACTGTCCTCAAGACTTGCAACACCAAATTTTTGTGGCTAGCACTGTACAGCAAGTCAAATATAGTGTATTCCTTTTGGTCTGTTATGTACATCTACAAGGTATACATACATGTGCTAGGAAGGGGAGTATAGTCTTTTAAATACCCAATGTATTAACTTATATCAACTCAAGAGTTCAAAGAAGAAATAAAAGGCAAAAAGAAAAAGAAAAAGAACACCAAATATAGCATTATACACCTAAATTGTGTATGAGAAGGATTTCCAAATATATTACATTCCCAAACCAAAACAAAAGCGGAATGCCAAGAGGAATATTATAATATTATATTACATAAGCCCTAATTTGATCTTTATTTGGATTATTACAAGCTTCCTCTCCTATATATAATGACACCAAATACAGCATTATACATCCATCACTACCACTACTAAATTGCATATCACATTATAACCTAAGACTCAAAAGAGAAAAAATCACTCAAAAATGACTATGACCCCACTTTTATGCGCAAGGCGTTGTGGTTTCTATGGAAACCCAAGCAATCACAACTTTTGTTCCCAATGTTATCAAGCTTTTCTGAAAGAAGAAATGGCAAAGGATGTATCAATTTTATCCGAAAAGATATCTTCTCTTACTATTATAGCTGAAAAAGATGATCACTCGATGAATATACAGAAACCACAAAAGTGCATGGCTTGCATGAAGAAGGTGGGATTGATAGGGTTCAATTGTAAGTGTGGTGAAATATTTTGCAAGAAACATAGATATCCAGAAGAACATGCATGTGTATTGGATTTCAAGTCGATAGGGCGTGCGGCTTTGGTAAAGGAGAATCCTTTATGCAAAGTTGATAAACTTGAGAATAGAATCTAAGACGTGTTTGGTGCTTAATCGCTATTATTGCTAGTTATGTTCCAAGTCTTTTTTATTTGGGTTTTTCAATTTTATCTTTTAGTATAGTCATGTCATTTGTTTTGATTAATAGTACTACCAAATAGTGTATAGTTGCAATTTTTGTTATTCAAGATTGCTTGACTCATTTATTTTTATTAAATTTTAGATCATGATCTAACGTTTTTTTTGTTTAGAGATTAGAACTTGGGGAGGGATTACAAGGTGAGGAATCTAACCCTATCCCATATTTAATCAGATTTGCACAATGATTTCCAAATATTAATATTCCAAACTAAAACCAAACGGATATTAGGAGAGGCATATATTATGAAAGGCTTTGATCTTTATTAGGATTGTTACAACCTTCATCTCCTATACATAACCCCAAACATTTTAACCCATCACTATCACTACTAAATCAGAAAACAACACATTATAATAACCAAAGGAATTTAAAAAGACCGAAATTCACAAAATAATTTTTTCTTTCAAAGGAGAAAAAAAGAAAAAGAAGAAGAAAGCAGAAAACCCAATGTTATGTGCAAGAGGTTGTGGTTTCTATGGACGCCCAAGCAGCCAATCTTTGTTTTCAATGCTAAAAAGCTTTTTTGAAAGAAAAAACTGCCAAGGATGCAATTGATTCATCCAAAAAGATATCTGAAAATGAAACCAGAAAAGTGCATGCTTGTTTGCAGGAAGAAATGGGATTTAATAGGATGGATGCCTACTATGGGATTAAGTTGCAAGTGTGGTGAAATATTTTGCAGGAGCAGTAGATATCACGGGGTGACAATTGAGCGGGTTGGGTTAAATTTGGACGGATCAAAATGAGTTAAGACAATGGGTCTAGACCCAACCCAACCCAAATTTATTTGGGTCAAAAAGGGTTAGATAACGGGTTAGTAACGAGTCAAAACCCAATTTGCCCAATTTTTTATTTAGTTGTAATGGTTTTATTTGTTGTTTTTAGTACCTAATAAAATTATTTTTTCTTTATTATTACTATATATAACAATATAAAATCAAAAAAATAATTTATAAAAATATTGGACAAGATTTGTCAAAAACCAATTTGAATTAGCTATCAACCCAATTTTTTATCAGTTGAAATGGATTGAGTTGAACTATCAAATATGCGGATCAACAACCAATCCAACCTTAAATGGGTTGGACAGTTCTAATATGATTTTGCCACCCCTAGTAGACAAGTAGATATCCAGAGGAACATGCATGCAGATAAATAGCATGGTGAGACTACCAAACTTTGGATCATGCACTTCAATACATTTTGGTCCAAAATAATGACAAGTTTATGCACACACTGCTTGCACTCATATTTGAGAAATATTACGGTGAGACATAGTATTAGCTCAACAATTCTTCACCATCTTCGTTCCATTGAACCAGTGCAGCTAAATATCTAACTGTTAAAGATAGTTTTATATATAGCAGTAAAACTTGATTTGCACCGATATAAATCTTCAATTATGAAGAAACTAGATTGCATGTCGAAGTGTCCATAATTGTTCAAACTCCACTGCCATTTGTTAGTCATTCATGAAAGCAAAAAATTGTGAAGAGGTAGTGTAACAGAGAAATATAAAGGCGGATGCAAAACCTGGAATACGTGCTAAGCATAATGTGATTAACTTACACTGTTCTATACATGGACAAAAACATCTAGTTCAAGAGGGAAATAGATCTCAACAAAGATTTAAGTTGAACTGCACTGGTTGTAGATCTAACCTATTGTGGATCTCATCCACCATAAAACATTCCATCTACAAATGTGAAATACACTAAGCTATTACCGTGTACCTAACCATCTTATAGGAGAAATCTCTAACATCAAAAATCCTTTGGCCAACATATATATGTTCCATATTCGCTTCTGATTTGATATGAAGTGTCTACGAACCCAAGTCAAAGGGAGTTTTTGGATATAGCTTCTTGAAATCTAACAAGCCACTGTGCTTCGGAGGAATCATCACCCTGCTGAACTTGCGGTAGTCCTTTCCCAATCACAAACTTTGTATAATCAATGGATTTGGGAGGTGGGTCCAAACAAGGTTTGGTTGGCGGGGGAGGAAGCAAGGAAACAAGTACCCTAGCAACCTCATGCATCGTTGGCCTCTCACATGGAAATCTTTTTGTGCACAGCAACGCAAGCTGAAAAGTTTTCCTCACGTGCGTCAAGTCCATACATGTAACAGATACCTCAGGATCAATAGCATCCATCACGGTGTTATCATCCGCCTTTGACATTATCTGTAACACAAATCAAAGTACTCTATAAAGACAACAAATATAATACAGGAGTTAAAAGACAAGACATTTGATGGAATGATAACATCGCAAATGCTAGAGGAAGGTAGGAAAATTTGAGATAAGTGGTTCTTTTCTATATCCAGTCTGAGTCAAATCTTTTTTACAAGTAACAACGTACGTAGACTATAAGAGGAGAATAATACCAGCTGATGCAGGTTCAAGTCATTATCAACCGGTTTCTTTCCTGTCAAAAGCTCTAGGAGAACAATGCCAAAGCTGTAGATGTCTGACTTTTCAGTTAACCTGGAAGTCCTGGCATACTCAGGGTCAATGTAACCTATGGTGCCCAACACCAAAGTTGATGCATGAGTTTTTGCAGTAGGGATGCATTTTGCAACCCCAAAATCAGAAAGATGAGCCTCAAAATTTTCATCAACTAGAATGTTTGAAGATTTCACATCTCTGTGGATGATTCTTGGGTTGCAATCGTGGTGAAGATAAGCAAGACCCTGAGCAGCACCAACAGCAATCCTCAGACGTGTTTCCCAGTCAAGCTTCACCTTTTTGGAAGGCCCTATGACATGTATTCAGTTGATAATTAGCCATTTTCAAATCAATCCTGGCTTATAGCACCATTCTCCGACAGGGAAAACAGTAATAAATATCAACTTATAGTCAACACCGTCTTACATGAAGATGCTTTATAAAAGATTACAAGGAAAAGAGGGTTACTAACCATGAAGTAGATCCCAGAGTGAACCATTCTCCATGTAGTCGTAACAAAGGAGATTTCCATGAGGGGAAAGGGAGTAACCATGCAAGCTAACAAGGTTTCTATGCCTGATGCTTCCAATTGTCTCCAGTTCAGTCTCAAACTCTCGCAAGCTGTGCGGATGTGTAGTGTAAAGTCGCTTAACGGCAATCGGTCGGGAATCTTTCAAAACACATTTATATACAGTGCTGGAAGCACCATATCCTATGATGAATTTCTCATTGAAGTTCTCAGTAATCCTCATAATGTCATCATATGTATGGATGGCCATATCCATGTGTAGAACCACAAGTTTGGGGGAACCTAGGGAATTAGAGGGAAACAAGATAAAAGCTAACATAAATACCTGAAAGTACTGAAAAACAAAAGAACAGAATGGACATGTACTAATTTTTACCTTGATTGGTCTTAGGCCCCTTCAGAAACTGGTGTGGTTGGTTGGACTTGTACACTGCCACTATAACCATGGATAAGAGTGCTATGAAACCCAATGCTGTGCAAACAACAGCTGTTCTAGAGAACAAGGCTGCAAAAGTAACAAGTTATTTTAATGCACATGACTCTAGCATACCAAAAGATTCACTAACCAATGCACAAAAATGAAGTCATACCGTTAGACCTTGGTGCATAGGGGTCACATATTGAGCCTTTCCAGTTGCCACAAAGAAATAGGTTCCCCAAAAAGCTGATGACCATAGTAAGGTGGTCATTAACTTGTACTAATGCTCATATATAATGATGAAGCTTCATTCTATACGGAAAATACCTGTCAGGTGCAAACCGCGAGAAATTCCGTGAAAGAGGAACAACACCACTAAAATTGTTGTAGGATATATTCCTAAAGGAAAATGG